TTTTTTTTTTGCAGCACTGGGGATCAAACTCAGGACCTTGCCCTTTCCAGGCAGGTGCTTTGCCACTGAGCTGTCTCCTTGGCTGAATACACTTTATTACGATTGTGACTCCATGCATTGAAATGGTTTCTGGGTACAAGGAGTCAGTGACCAGAGCCCCAAGCATATGCTCAGGCCTTTCCAGAGTGGCCAAGAGAGATGCACACATCAGACAGCAGTCAGTCTCTTTGGACAAAATGCTTTGCATCTGGATGTACAGTGTGCTTAGGCAGCCCTTGATTGGCACGGTCACTGTGCCACCCACAACCCTTCAGTGCGATGCTGCTGTGAGTTGAAACTGACCAGAGAGATGCGCAAGATACTAGGTCAGGTGGAAAATGCGAGCTTAGAAAGGACAGGAGATACAGTGAGAGGAACTGTTAGAATGGAACCATCCAAAGCAGTGCTTACAAATTACCTGGGATTTTTAAGCTGCTCTATTTTCCCCTGTGCATGTTCCACATTCCATGGTGAGCATGTAATATTTATAGAGCCTAAAGGTAATTGCCTTTCTATGTTAAAGACACTAATTCTGGGAGGCTCTCAGGCCTGACCTTGTGCTAGGTGGCTTTGCAGTGATTGTCCTGTCCTCCTTTTTGCAGATAAGAAGCATGCTCATTTCACATCTGTTGGGGGCCTGGCCTTAGCTCAGTTGTTTAAGTGGCTGCTTCCACAAAGCTGTCAGCCTCAGGTTGCTGTAGTTCGATCCCCACAACACTCCAGCCAGCCAAACCACCCCTGAGGGCATTCAGAGCAAAAAAAAAAAAAAAAAAAACCTTATTTCATTCCGCATCTGTCAATCCATCTACTTACATTCTGAGTACTTTTGGAGTTGGTCAAATTCCTCCGGAGTGAGAGAAACCCATCGTTCTTCGCTCATCTTTAGACTGGATGTGAGTGTCTCGAGCCCAGAGATAGAGTTTTATTCAGCAGGGTGAAGCTGAGGCCTGGCCCGGGGTCTGGATCATTGCAGGTAGGCAATGGATGTACCCTTCCAGAGACTTCTGGGGGACTCTGTGGCGTCTATGGCAGTGGTGTGCACGTCTCGGCAGCTGAGAGAAGACCTCTGCTGCTCCTCTAGGACACCCTCCTGCTGAGGTCAAGGCCAGTTCAGGATCCTGCTGTCCTAGGCAGAAGCAGAGAAGCCACTTCAAGTGAGAATACAAGAATACAAAGCAATCCCCAAATGCTCTCTGTGAAAAGATCTGCAGAGCGCATGGTTCAGTGGTTGTCAGGGCAGCTGTCTCTCTCCAGGGAGATCTGAAGAGGGCATGGAGGCCAGGCCAGCAAACTCCCATCTGTTGTCTGTCTGGGGATGGGAGCCTGAGGGGCACACTGCGGTCTGGCTCAATAGGGAGGCCACAAGCCTCAGCTCTGGGGAAGTTCAAAGGTCATGGTGAGCAGTGTTGTTAGGGACACAACAGGCATCCACTTGGATGCTGTCATGGTTTGGGAGTTTTGCAAGGGAACAATACAATACAGCACATGTTTTATAAGATTATTTTATAATGAATCACTCAAAGAATCATACCAAATGAGTGCAGGAAATCTGTGTACACATTAAAGACCAAAGAATCCAGCTGAAGGTCTGGATCCCACAGCAACATCCCACGAGTCCAGCCGAAAACCTAGAGCCCATAAAAATGCCCCCCATGAGTCCAACTGGAGGCCTATGACAATGTCTCATGCAGGCCCACTTTATGGATCTGTGTTGGGAAGGCCCAAAGGTCAGTGTTAGAAGCTAGAATGTTTATGCCAGTGGGAGGAAGGATCTGTGCTAGCAGGGATCTGCCCTGGAGCCAGAAAGCAATGCTCAAGGTGAGCACCAGAACTCCCCCGAAAAGTACCACAGCCATCCTCATTGACAGTGAGGTCCTCAGCTCACCTAATGAGGAGAAAAGCTGCATTCCCGTCAGGAAAGCCAACATGACAAGCTTCCCCAGGAAGCTGAGCTGTCCACCATCTTCCCCTCTGGAGCCAGGAAGCGATGCTCAAAGTAGGACCAGAGCTCCCCAAAAGTGAACCACAGCCATTCTCAGTGACAACAAGGTCTCAAGCTCCTCCTCTGATGAGAACAACCAAGTTCAGCTGGTGCTAGCACTGGGATCTGCTAGCACAGATCCTTCATCCCACCGACAAGGTCCTCCAGCAGAAGAGCCCAAGAGAACCAGCAGCTTCCAACAGCTCCAACAGCTTTTCCAAACAGCTTCCCCAACAGCCTCCACGAGCTCTTCTCCAGTTCTGCCTCGTATGCTGATGGCAACAACCCTCGGGCGGGCACCACGCTGGTTCAGTTCAGCTGGGTATAACAAGCTGAGCGCCGCTGGCATCCACCACAGCTGCCTCACGAGCCACTGTGGGAGCAGCAGCCGGTGTGACGTGGCTTGCAAGAGGAGCCACTCTACAGATTTCACCACACCATCGAAGCTGCCTTCTTCCCTCTGCTATGTCCCTTGGGAAATTCAAATACCACTACGACTGGCTGACACCTAGTGGCGGGAGCAATTCTGCAGCCTGACAGATCCACAAAGAGTTAGAAGAAGTTGAAGCCGAGAGGAGAAGGTACTCACAAAATCACTGATCATCCTTTCCTTCGATCCTCTCCTAGTACTATGAATTTCATTAAATTGACTTGTAGGTTATTAAATTTATGTAGTGGGCCACGATCAGTATCAAAAAAACAAAAACATGCAATAGAATGGGGTAGAATGGAATGGAGCTGCATCTCTGGTAGCAAGAGTGGGCCCTGTTCCATTTTACAGTCCTGTTACTTATGCATGTATGAGCATGCTCGTCAGAATGGGGAAGACACTTATTCTGGTTGATGTCTTAAAAAGGTTGGAAACCATCAATGTAGAAGGAGGGGAAATGGAGAATCAGATGACATGCAGGCTTCAGTGTCACTAAAAGCCAAGCCCAGTTTGAAGGAAATGGAATCCATCCTTGGGACCAACTCTAAGAGAAATCTGGGGAACCTGGAGCAATGCTGGCCGGATGTGCTGTGGGGAGGCCAAGGTGCAGGGCTCTCTGGGCCAGTGTGCAGATGTGGACGGTGAGGGTGGAGCTAGAGCTGAGGGAAGATGCTGGAAGGGGAGCGAATCCAGCCCTTAAGGAGGGACCAGAGAAGGGAGTGCAGGACAGGGAGAGGCCTGCCCCTCAGGAGCACGCAGGTACTCAGTTCTCTCCTTTACAAAGGCCTTTTTTCACTTCACTAGCAGACTGGATTCTGCTCTTTTGTACCCACAGAGCTACACTCCCAGCCTTTTAAAATTTTATTTTGAGTCAGAGTCTCACAAAGTTGCCCAGGCTGAGCTCAAAGTTACAATCTTCCTCTCTAAGCCTCTGGAGTCGCTGGGATTATAGATACCTGGCAGTGGGACATCCACACTGGCTCCAAGTCCCACAGGCACCTTTCTGCCCTTCCTTAGTTTGTTTGCAAGCCATTGTCTGTAGCCTTTAGCCTGGCAGGAAACTCCCACCTCACACCTTGCTTGTCTTTCCGAGTGTTGCTGTCTTTGTCTCCTCCAGCCTCTTCATGCCTTCTCTTGGTGTTTCCAACACTTGTCCTCAGTCCTGTCCTTACTCTGTCACTGTCCCCAAGGGATCCCAGGTACCTCCACTGCTTCTGCGGCCCTCCAGCCCTGGGCACTCTCTCTGATCTGGATCACAATGTGTGCATCTCCAGATCCTCCATCACGCTCTGAGGAATTCTCCCATCTACTGCAACTGTGCCATTGTCCCAAACTACAGCCCCTTGCCACTTCTCAGTGCCCTGGCCTGCAGCTCCTTTACCCTCCTGTCATTCTCCTGAGAGGAGCCAACATTCAGGCCAAAGGCTCCGCCTCCTCCCCTAGCCCTCCTGCCAGCCCGGAGCTCCAGCTCAGCAGTGGGGCTGTTCACTGTGTCTGTCCTCTGTCCTCACCACCACGTAGCCCTGTCCTTAACTCAGACAGCTGCCTGGTCTTTGACGACAACCTCCCACTGGTCTGTCTGCCTTTGTTTTTTGTTTTTTTTTTCTCTCTTCCACTTGGTCTTCTCTGTAAACTGCCAACCAGATCACATCTCCCCAAGAGACAGAATTCTTCTGTGCTCTCTATTGCTTAAGAATGAGATGAAATCTTCTTTTCACAATACGCTCTTTATGCTTTGGTGCCTGATTGTCAATTCAGTCCAAATGCAAAGGATGCTGGTCAGAAACATCTCTTCTCACACCATGGAATGTAACGTTACAACTGCTATTACCACTGCTGCTGTCACTTACTGAACTCATCTTATGCTGGTCCGTAAGCTTTATACACAGTATCTGATTTAATCTTCACAACCACACGTGCAGTAAGTACACTCACGCACTGCACAATGGCATTTTGGCCAACAACAGACTGCACATGCCACAGTGGCTCCATAAGGTCACCATGAAGCTGGAGCATTCCTGTGGCCCTGTGACGGTCTGGCTACCACAATGCCACGCCTTACCAATGACTCACGTGTTTGTGGTAACGCTTGTGTGGACAAAGTTACTATACCGCCAGTCTCATAAAAGAACACATAGCCAATCAGACAGAGAGATACTGCTTGGTAATAATAATTAGCAGTTACGTTCCTGGTTCATGTACTTACTATACTATATTTTAATCATTATTTTAGAGTATTCTATTTACAAAAACCTTAATGTGAAGCAGTGGGCCGTGCCGAGCCAACAGCTGCTGCGTACACCCCGCGTTTACCACAGCCGGTGGCTGTATAAGAGGCCACGCAAGCAACTCACCTTAAGATCTGGATTGTGTGAGCACATTGCGTGATGCCCCAGAATGACAAAACCGCCTGACGCTGTAGCTCTCAAGATGCAGCTCATCCCTGAAGGATGCCTGTTGGTGGTGGCGTCTCTATTTTGTTGGCGAGAAAGGGTAAGGCTAGGTACTCAGCAAGTACGGTGAGGGGAAAGGAATCGTCGGCAGTTTTGCTTAAGAATGCTTTTATGGCGTAATCGTTCTGCACACCTTCATCAGGCACAGAGCTTGAAGAGGCCCCAGGGACATACTGCATCACAGAACAACGCTAAACTCAAACCAGAAGTCAGATCATTCGAATAGGGTTCTGCCTCTTACTGGATATCTGACCCTAGGCTTACTTTTTATATCTTGAACTTCTTTTTCCCCTTTCTATAAATGAAGATACCTGTGAAAAAGTTCACTGGGTTAGTACTGGAAGTGAGTTAATATTTGCAAAAAGCCAAAAGCCTAACTCCCCTCCTGCCGCAGCGCCTGTCACAATACATAATTGTTGCTCTTAGCACCAGAGCATAATCGTCTTCCAGCAGCTGAGAGGAAGGGCCGCAGTGCATCGCGGATTTGCCAGCCTGAGACTATCCTGCTCCAGACAGCTGGAATTTTGCAATTACTCACTGAACTCATCCACTAGGTTTAGCACCCACTGATGATTCTCGCCTGCATTAATAACTATTGTGACAGTGATTTTTCTACTTCCATCATTCTTTTTATATTTTCTAGTTGGGAGCCTATTATAAAAATGAGTTATCCTTTTGAATGTCAGCATATATAAAAATTTATTTATGTCAGTACATATATATGTGATAAGTATTATGCATACTACAAAATATAAGAAACATTCATCAAAATAAATTACATATAAATGATAAATTTTTATACAAATAATAAATATGATAAAATATGGTGAGTGGTTAAGTTGAAAAAATTCTCCCTTACTTCAAACCCACTTATTTCATGTGCTTCATAATGTGTCTTTTATTGTAATAAGTTTTAAAAAATTTAAATATTGTACCCCTTGTAAATATATATTATGTTAACATATAATATATTTAACTGTATTGATGGATTCTTATTTTATTCAGTAGGTTGTAATCCTTGTTATTTGTATTTGTTTAGGTTCTCAGATTGTCTCCCAAGTAGATTTTTTTTTTAACAGTATTGGGCAGTGGTGATAAACCCAGGGCATACATGCCACAATGAGATATTTGTACCACTGAAAACACTCAAGGTTTGCCATCATCGGCATAGGGGATTGAACCCAGGGCCTTTGCACTGAGCTACAGTTTCAGCCTTCTTGAAATTTTTACTATAAGACAAGGTCTTGTTCGG